GTTTCTTGAATTTTTTCGTATAAGGCATAGTTTTCAAAAAAAGTAACATTTTTACATATTACAGATTAGAGAAATATGTATAACATAAATACTAACAAAACCTGGAGTGTTTACATTTGTATAACAAATAAAATACCAAGAAAAACTCTAAAATCATGCTAACACCAACAACAGCTGAATACAACAGTGATTAAAAATATCCTACAATAATTCTTAGAAATGACTGCCCCCATACAATATGCACGCCTCTGCTCGTCTTCTAGACGCTCATACTCTCCCAATTATCCCTGGAGTATTTCTGATTGTTTCAAATCTATTAATTATTCTATTTATTAAATCATCCACATTATTTACTGGCGTTTCATATACTAAAGCTTTAAGATACCCCCACAAGAAAAATCTAAACTATTTAAGTCAGGTGACTAGGAGGCCATGGCTATGGTCCGCCCCGAACTATCCATCTATTAGGGTACGCCTCATTTAAAAATTATTGTTCCAAAAGAGAAAAAAATGTGGTGGAGCACCATCGTGCATGAACCATATACGATTCCTTAGAAAGATTAGTACGTTTTTAAGTAGCAAAGGCAATTCATGCTGTAAAAAATCTCTGTATGAGTTACCATCTAGTCGGCCTGGCTAAAAGAAAGGTCCTATGAGAGAATCTTCAGGTATACCACCCTACACATTCAGGGAGAACTGTTCTTGGAAATGTGTTTCTACTATGCCATGTGGATCCTCGTCAGCCCATAGGTGGTTGTTGTGAAAATTTATGATTGCATCCCTTGAGAAGCTTGCCTCATCAGTGAACAGGATTTCACGATCAAAATTAGGATTTACCAGTAGCCTTTGAAGGTAACATTGAAAAAAAATTATTCTCGCGTGGCAGCAGTGCCTGAACCCTTTGAATGTGGTACGGATGGATACAATAGAGAATCATGTATGAGTAAAATACGCCAAACAATTTGGTGGCTAATATTCAGGGTTCTGGAAATTTGCCTGGTATTGGTTTCTGGATGATTTTCTATTTCTGCTAAAACCGCTTCTTCTATTTGTGGTATCATAACAAGTCGAGGCCTGCCGCCATCGTTGATATTCTTTTTAAAAGTGATGGTGAATAGCTAAGAATACTCGGTGGTCAGGTATGATATGTCTCCAAATAAAGACGCCTGGCTTCAACTGTATTTCCATTTGCAAGGCCATAGATAAAGTGCATATCAGCCATTTCGAAATTTGTAAAATAATTCATAGTTCAGGATAAATAAACTTTTGTTTAAGTCAACGTTTAGTCTTGAATTTTAAGCTTTTACTTTGAACAACGCAACTCGCAAAAACTTTTTCACTCGGCTCAAAAATATTTAAGTGACAGTGACAATCTAATATCATTCAATCTGATTTTATGGAAATGCTATAATTTGTTCGCATGGCCCACTTTACATTTTGTTCATTTTAAGATTGTTGAAATTACATTCAACATGTCCTATCTGCAGGGCAGAGTAACCTAAATCCGCACTTAACAAATAAAAAAAGAATAAAATACTAAATAGACACTCCCTGTATAAACCTCCGCACTTAACAAATAAAAAAGAATAAAATACTGAATAGACACTCCCTGTATAAACCAAATATCCAAAGCTGTTCAATAACAACCCCTTTTAACTTTTAAATAACCTTCAATGACTCCGGCCGCCTCAAGATACAGTTAAAAATAATAACGCGAGACATTTCATCCAATAATAAGACAGATCTTAAAAACAATAGTCTCGCGTGCAAAAACATACGAGAAAAGAGAGGCAACGGAGGACAAAACTAAAATCTCTTTCGCTTTCTCTTTCGGACAAGCAACAAGTCACAAAATAAAAATTAAAAAAGCCAGCAATGGGCGGTAACCAATTCCAAGCATTGTGCGATTTGATTTATAAAAGTTAATATGTAACTTATTAATAATTCTATGTAACAACGTTGTAAATGTGTTAAATGTGAAAGAATCAAGCAGTGAATATATCAAAATAAAATGTAGGGTAATGGTTTTATTTTAATACACCCAGTGCTTCACCTAGAACTTCAAGAATATCTTCCAGAGGCTACTGGGTGAAGCATAAAGCCTCCACCCCAGGTAATCCAATTTGAATACAGTCCACCATGGTCGAAGGCAGTGTACGTCAAGCTCAATGAAGCTAGGGTTTAACAAAGATTTTGTGCAGGCCCTGGACTCATATTCTCGAATATGTGATGAGGAATATGCAGCGAACTTTTAACAAAAATGACTTTTTATTGAGATTATCAGCATAAGTTATGTTAGCAAATTTTCAGAAAATTTTAAGTCATAATATTTTTTGGATCGAAGACCCATCATTGGCGTGCAATCAAATACTTTTTTATCTCGATTAAAAACACGAAAAATAGAAAAAGTTTAAGAGACAAGAAAGATGTGTTTTTGATTGGCGAATTTGAAAAAGAAAAGAAAAAATGTGAAAAAGTCAGTGGCCTACTTTTTTTTCAAAAATATCAATTAAGTTGCCTCTGGAGACGCCACTGGAAATAATAATTCAGACATAACTAGATCAAAATTAGCCTCTTACTACAACAAATGAATCTGCCAAGTTTCATCAAAACCGGTTGAAGAGTGTTTATGATATGAATGAAAAATTGATTATTTTTAAAAATTTGTTATAAATCAAGTTCCCTATAATCTGCCATGTCAAAATTTTTATTACGACGTTTCGTAATTCCAAGGCCACCTTCAACTTATTTTTTTAAATACGGACCTGGATTTTTAACTGCAATTTTTTATAGCTTTTGTATAGCTAAATACAACGAAATGTTACACTTTACCATTTTACTACGTTTCGTCTATGAAAATATCATCAGCTATGTAGCTTCTGATGATACCGTTTCTTACTTGATTAAAACAAGATAGCTAATTAAATAATAATTAAAAAACAAAAAGTGCTTAAAACGTGAAATTTTAAATATTATTTGAAACCTAATACAAGAATTATTTAATTACAAAATGGGTTACAATTTTTTATCAAACATGATTAAGTACAACCAGCAAACAAGACTAATGAAGAACGAATTATGGTTGTACACATTCTACAAATAATAAAGCTAATAACAAAGAGAAAATTAAAAAACAAAAACAGTCACAATAGTTGATCAAAATGTAGTCCATTCTGTTGGATACAGAGTGCAATTCTCCTAGACATTTGGGATGTTGTTTTATCAACCATTTCTGGTGTATTTTTTTCAAATGCATCTGCTATTCGTTGACGAAGTTCTTGTAGATTAGTTTGCATATTTTTGTCGTTGATTTGGTTCTTTACGAAGCCCCATACAAAATAATCCATAGGGTTAAGACACGGAGATCGAGGAGGCCATCTTATTGGTCCATTGGTACCAATCCAATTACCTCTAAAATATTGATCGAGATACTCTGCAACCCTCGTAGCATTGTGTGCACCACAACCGTCTTGCATAAAGTATTGAAGATTTTGTTTTAAGAAACGACCCCAAACTACATTTATTTACTTAAAGGGATTATTAACTCCTATAAAAATACGAAAAATACAGAATTGAAAAATCTTAAATATTTCTTACAGCTCAAATTTTTATTAATATAAAATCAGTACTTCTATAAAAACCTAGTAAATACATTTAAAGAACTGGAACAAAACACATTTGGGGATGATTATTATTAAACAAATGTATATTTGAACACTTAAAAATAAAAAGGCTACAAGTAAAATAAATTTATCATAGTATCTATTTGATTCTTATAACCAGTTACAACTTTCTAGCATTATAATCAGGCTAAAAGGAATAAGTCAAAGATTTTATTTATTCGCAGGGTCAGAAAAATATCAAAAGAAATAGGTACCTTGTGTATATAAAATTTATATCATGAACACATTATAATAGGGTCCAAGTCATAACATTATTAGTACCAAGGAGACAGGATAAATAATACGAAATATTTATATAGTAAAACTTTATACTAATAATTATTTTTATTACAGAAAAGACAAAGTTGAATAACCTATTTACATAACCTACAATCATTTAAAACGTAGACATTAAACATATTTACTTGAAAAATAACGTTTCCTAGTAGATTTCTTAGCACTTTTTCACGGATAACATAATTTGCATTAAAATGTTTTTCACAAATGGAACTTTTGGGTTTAATGTTTATTTTCATACCACCAATAATTTGCACCATATTCTGTATAACTGTTTTTTGGCATTATAAAACTGCTATTAATATTTTGAAGACTCTCTCCCATAATCACAACTAAAAACAGCACAACCATCCACCATGATTTATATATTTTAAGATTTTAAAAAATATTTATTTGTCAACACTTTTTAAATTGCAGCTCCTACTTTTATCTTTTATTTACTTTCTCGCCGGATAGATACTAGCGAACCTAGCGGATTTTGGCTAGGAAGTACGATCGGTTTTATCGCCGTTTTCATTTGTTTTTAAATAGGAGTTGATGCACCTTATAGTCCACCGTGGTTAGGACTGATATTCTTGACATTTAAAAAAATGTCAATTGTAATACCACTTAAAATTTGGAGAATACAACTTGTACTTCGCACTTGTTGTATTTTCGTAGTTGGAAATGACATTTTAGACATTTAAAAAAGTTGTCGAATGATAAATGTACTACTTATTATATTTCTCTTGAAAATATTTAATTATTTTTGTTTATTCATTTGATAAGTATGTACTTTTTTATTGGTAGGATCGATTTATTAAAATACATTTAGTAACTAGTGTAAGCTAAGCTTTAGATTCCTATTTCAACTGTAAAAAATTTCACAACATTAAAAATCTACAACCGTCTGAGCGGTAAATAAAAAGTAAATGGATAATACATTTGATTTACGTTAATAAATTAATTTTAAAAATACGATCTTATCGTACCGTACCTTGCGAGAAGACCCAAAGGACAATGCAATAAATCTCAACTTATCTACTTTTCCGTTCGTTTCAGACAAATAAATAACCACACGAAGGAACTATGGACCAACGCTGTACAAAAAGTGTCAAACCAAAGAAAAAGAAGACCACACTTTTCATCAATCGCTTTCTCTGTTATCGACTCGCACAGACAAATAAAAAAGGATGTTTCCTTTACTCCACCGCCATCACCTAGGCACGCTGGAATCTTGAAACGCGTAAGTCCACGTATCACTTATTTTTGTTTGATATAAAGTAAGATTTATGCACCAAAAAAGAAAAATAGGTACCTATAAAATATTCATTTTAACTTTGATGAAACTAAATAAAATAAATGTTTATACGGGCACGGAAATTTAAACAAGGACTACCTAAACCAAATATATTGGAGACAAGTAAGTGAGAGTTGGTTTATGGTACTGTCTCCGAGCTGGATTCGGATCACACTTTGTTTATATCCCAAAATATTTTGAAAATTTGGCAACTGCATTTCAACTGCCATACTTGTCAAAAGTATATGTGTAAGTGCAACACTTTTAAATTTTTAAATTGAACGTGATCTTGCAATGAGGCTTGTCCAGCTGTAAATTAGTGTTTTTTTCGTATTTGTAGCTTTTTTAATAATGTCTCAAATTCAGCCGGTTTAACATTTTTGCTAAACATTTATTTCTAAATTAAACTTTGGCTCTTTATCGTCATATGGATCAATCATATTTTCAATGAAGTTTGTCATTTCGTTTAATCTTCCGTTAGTTAATATTTCATCTTCTTCAGATAAATAAAATGAAGACAAAAGCTCATATATCCATTGCTCTATCAAAATCACCCTTCATAATATATTATCTATCATCCACCACAGATTCTTTCAGATCTAGTCTTATTTTTTGTATGTCGTTTACTGCAAATTATCACACATTTGACAGCTACATTGAGCTACGTTGAAAATCAGTGTAGAGGTGTAAATTCACTATACGTTTGTTTACAATTAAAACCGTTACATTTTATCTACACTCAAATATTTGAAGCGATTAATACAAAACACACCTATACTCGGACAAAATATTGAAGATGATTCCTTCCTGTTCACGTACAACAATCATACTATACCAGAGCATAATGAATGGAATCGCGCGTTTAAAACTGCAGAAGTTATCGGAATCACGTGCTAACTAGTTATAAATGCATGTTTATTGCCAAAATAAATTACGCCAGTGGCGTATAAAAACTATTGGCCAATTAAATGCGGTAATAGTATATGAAAAGTAGGTTGGTTATCTATTTTTGTAGTAATAATCATTTATGTTTATAATTTTGTTTTGTTTATTGTTAAAATATGTAAATATTATACCAGTGGCGTAGAAACACTATTGGAAAATTAAATGGGGTATTATACTAGAACAAAATATTAAAGAAGGTGCGCCTTAAAACTGCAAAAGGTATCGTTATCATATCAAAATGCACTCTTCCAGTGTCGCAGAAATACTATATTGGCAAATTAAATGGGTATTTGTAAATATTACTAGATGAAAATAGGTTGGTTATCTATTTTTGTTATAATAATTCATCTATGTTTATAATTGTATTTTGTTTATTATAAAAATATGTAAATTAAGCTTGGTATCACTTACTTGAATTCTAAATCTATGGAGTTTCGTAATCCATTGATTCTGCAGAACTATCACTGGAATCGTCTTTATCGTCGGAACTTGAGTTTTGATCAAAGGTCAAGGGTCAACTACCGTTTCGATCATACCGTCCAAGCGCCACATATTATTTTCTTCCTTAATTACATGGGAAATAGCATTCTGCCAATCTTCAGGTTTTATACGTTCTATACCGGTTTTTAATAAACTTTGAACGTCGGCAATTTTAAAAGTTTTATTTTCTCTAACTACAAACCCTTTCACTTGCGCCCAAATTAGTTCAATAGGATTAAATTCGCAGTGATAAGGGGGAAGTCTTAATACCGCAATACCACGATCACGAGCCACTGTGTCGACAACATATTGAATATATTTATGGCGGTGTTCCTTTATTAGGTCCATTAATTCCACTTTAAGCATCTCCTCAGTAAATATTATTGCTTTATCCCGCAGCCAGGTTTGCATATCCGCTTTCCTACTGGACATTATCGGAATGCGTTCAACTCGTCGACTGGGATAAGAAGCGTTATCTAATACAATAACTGAATTTTGTTCTACACGCTGTAATACTTCAGTAAATCATTTTTCAAAGCATTCCGCATTCATGTACTCGTGGTAGTCTCCTGTTTTTTTTTTTTTTTTTTTTTTTTTCATATAAACACAAGAGCGCTATTTTCCAAAAATCCACTGTCACTTCCGATGTGGGTAACAATTAGGCGCTGTCCTTTACCTGATGGTGCTGTCAAACCTGTAGATAATTCCTCTATAAAAGCTTGGCGATGACTAGTTACAGAAGTATCTTGCCATATCTTAGACAGCATTCACCCACGTTCCATCGAGATAGTACGAGTATATCTTTTTTTTAGCGGCTCTAAACACTTTAATATTTTGTAAATAACGCCGTCGCCAGGACACTATATCTAACCTCTCAATTAAAATTAATTTCCTACACCGTTTGACAAAACGAAATTTTAGGCCCCATAAAATTTTTCGTAAAGTTTCACGGCTCATTAATGTAGTTTCTTCGTTTTCTCTTAATTTCGTAAGAACAACTTTAAGTGTTGGGGCTTTGTTTTCGAAAAAAAAAAAAAAAAAAAAATAATGTACAGTTTTTCGTATGATTTGTTTTTGGTTATCATCCAATTTCAACAATTTTCGACCACGAGTATGCTTTTTAGGGGCTTCTAAGGAGCCTTTTTTTGTCTTTTTGCGTACAATACGTTCAATTGTTGAAACAGATACTCCAGTTAAAAAAGAACTGCGGTTTACAGCTTCATTTGTAGGAAGTGTCTGTTTCAGCCCACCATACACTCTCTATTAAATGTTCTTTTCATCCTTTGATAAGGGCTTTCGCCGACGTAATTGGGTTTCACTTGGACCCGCCTCTGAATCCATTACTTTTGTAACAATATAATTCTACTATTAAATTGTTTTTATTAAATTTATAATAATAATAATCATAATAATAATAATAATACTCTCCCTAATTCACCCCCTTACGGGTGAATTTTAACCCCTGAAGTCGACTGAACGACTTGTGTAGGGGAAGAGACGGCTATTATTATTATTTGCCGTGGCGCTCCGGGGCGACTTAAAGATGATTGATGGTGCCATTTGACTTACAGGTGAGGAAAACCCGGAAAACCTCACCCACCATCATCGAGACGGTAATGTATGGCTAATTTTTTTAATCTGCATGTCATATCAACAGAAATTGAATTTCTATTAATACGCCACACATCAAATCCTAAAACGAACCATGCAATTTAATTAAAAATCCACATGGTCGGTCTGGGATTCGAAACCCAGCAGTCTCAGACTCATAAACTTGCCTATAAATGAATATAAGCGCGATAGACCGCTACACCACCGTCCCGACACCAATATTTTACTAATTAATAAACTTTTAAAGTACCTACCTAATATATTACACAATAAATATAACTCCTCGAATATGCACTACCACTACCAAATTGTAAGGCACAAACATGAACACCTACTCGTATATCAGAAAAAAGCACTTATACAAAAAAGTGTTTATAAAATATAAAATAATTATCGTAAATAGTTAAAGCGATACAATTCTAACTTCGTCGAAAGTTAGTTTTCAACTGTCTTTGTGCCTCTGCTGACAATATTCAATCTGTAACCCGTCTGTCGTTTATTTACACATTTTAAAACCATTAAACACAGATAACGAAGTAATTAGGGTATAAATATATTCATTTCTTGAAAACTATCAAAAACGTATATTTAACGCATCATCTTTGTTAAAATAAAGATGTTGACAAACAAATTTAATAAAGTTTACTAGCAAATACCTAATAAATAATAAATAATTATTTGGTATTTGATACGCCGCCTATGCTGACTCTCTCGGAATTTTCATTCATAGACAACAGTGTTGATCATGCATATGACTCACCTTCTCCAATATTTTGTCCGAGTATAATGCAACAAATAAAATCCACTATATGACAATTTTCTATACTTAATTACTAAGTGAATATTCGTCACGTTTTAGCTCTACAACTAATTTAAAATTAAACAAAAAAAAAGATTAAATTAGGGCTTATGAAAATTTCTTAGGTACTTACTTGAATACAGAAAAATAAAAAAAAATATTTCTCCAACAATAGTCAAGTTGGAAACCTCATGTTTACTATAAATTTATATTTTTAATACGGAATACTGCTGTTTTTCTTATTTTTTAATATAATTTTAGGACAGCACAGATAATAGTTTGAATAATCATAATTCTATACCCATAAGCGAATCGGCCTCTCTACACAATGGAAAATTGGACGATCATTTCAACAATCTGGAAAAACCTGCTACATATTTGGAAGATGAAACGTACTCATACAAAGGTAAATAAACAAAATTCTTAAGGGAGGATTGTACAATAGGCAGTTAAAATGTAAATCTTAGTTTAAACTGTGAATTTCTTTGTACAATAACCGGTTATAGCTTTAAAAATAACATTTGTACGTTAAATAAAACCAGTTAAAATTTAAACTCCTTTTACCTAAACTGAGTTTACAGCATTCATTGTACAACCCGCCCTAAATGATATAGAAGGTATTTTAAAACTGTTAAGTAGCATTTCTACTAAGGATAAAATATTTACCACTGTAATAATTACTTTAAACATAAGATATTTTTAACTTTAAAATAAATTAAGTATGGCGCTGCATAAATATTGCAGACTCCAGACATTAATAGAATAAAAACAAAATCCATAATATGCTGTTACTAGTAAACATTTGCAGCCCAAAGTAAGAACGTTGATTAAGTCACGTAGGCGAGTAGCGTCACACCATGTTTTACCGCACAAAAACTAAAAACACGTCTGGAGTACCGCAGGGTTCATTGTTGGGACCATTATTTTTTATTATTTTTTATTTGCGGTTTTTTATTCGCTTCTCCAGTTTTCTTAACCCCTCCAATTAAAATTCAAATAGTTGTCCCTACAAAAATGCCTCCGCAGCTGCGTTGACTGTTGACTTCCTTATTGGAACCAAACTTGGATCGTTTACATGTTTCTTTAGCTGAGGGAAGAAGTTATAGTACAAAGGGACTATATCAAAGGAATAGGGAATAGTTTAACATGCTGCCTCATTTATTCCATTAGCCCCAGAAACTTTTCAGCACATTCTCGTATATATGCACGTTCATTAAGACGGTTTTTCATTAAACGGACAGTTGAGTTTATGTTTTGTTTGTATTTTCTGGGATTTGAAAAGCTTAAACAAAATTGAGACCAACCCAAAAACTTTTGTTTCCATCAAGCGGACTACAGTTTGTTCCAGTTTTGTTTTTTCTTTTCGCTCCTTTTCCACTGGTTGTCGAATCAAACTGTATTGTGTCCAATATTGGACAAAAATAAGTTTGATACAGTTTTCCGTTAAAAAAATCAGCGGGCTTCCGATTTCAGAAGGTTGCACGGATTAAAAGTGGTTATGGCTCATGCAAAATATATCATAATAATGTTCGCCGCAGTTTCAATGTGAAATAATTATTTTTAATCGGTAGTGTTGTTTACTCGGGATTCGGAGAGCACGTGGGTACAATTTTATGAAGTATTTGTGATGGAAGGAACTGGATTACCTGTTGGGGAGCATTCTCGTGGTTCTCGAAAAAGGCAGAAGTCCCTTAATACATTGGGCGGCGGCAAACGCATCAATTTTTTGAAGTATGCAGGAAGGTATCTAATTGCTTTCATTTAATTTTGTAGATATACCGATAATGATCTGAACATGTTAAATTTTGTTGTACCGAGCAATCACAAAGATAGTCATTTTAAGTGCCGATCGCTTGAGAGAAATACGTTGATTATGGCTAAAAGAAATTTTTTTAGCGACTCTAATAAAGCTGAAGAAGATCGACCATTGGTGCTTCTGATGAAAGCATCCGATCCTAAAAGGCGAAGATGTAGGGTTCCAACACGTTTGCGAAAAGCGACCTCTATGACTGTTTCCTATTACTTACGACGTGAGAAATTGTTCAAAGTTTTTTGAGCAGTTTTCAGTATTGCTCAAAGTCAAATGAATAAAATAGCAAAGTGTGTGAAACTAGGGGAAGTACCGTACGAACGTCGAGGAAGAGATCACAAAATAAACTTGTTTTCCAACAAACGACACGAGGTCATACAATTTATTTCAAGATTAGGGGCCTCCGAAATCCACTATTCATGAAGTAAAACTCAAATATTATACCTCCCGTCAACTTTAAGCATTGCTGGACTTTTAAAACTTTAAAACTCCAGTGTTTCCCCTGAACTGAGAGTCAAGAGATGGTTTTTTAAAAGAATTTTTACTACAAAGTTTAATTTGGGTTTTGGTTCACGTGCAGTAGTTACTTTAAGTTATTGTTTGCAGACAAAGCAAAAACAAACTACTAGCATTCTTAAATGCTCACAAATTGCGAGCAAGAACCTTCCATAAACTTATGAAAATGTAACCTGTTGGTTCTGTTACGTGTCATTCGATTTGCAACAGGTTTAACCCTTGCCAAAACTGTCAATTACGAAGCCTTCTACTTTAGACAGAGATCTCATTTTACTCATTCTGCGTAACGGGCATCAATGGTGAACATCCTGCATTTTACCAGTGGTGTGAAAAATCAAGCTGCTAGAGGAGCCATGGAAGTTTTCTCAGCTTTGTGCGACTTTTAGGAAAAATATTCATTTACTATCAAATTATTTGCCGATGGCTGCGGGGACCAAAATAAGAATGCCCACGTAATGGCTCTTTGGCTCTATAAGAAAGTTTCGACTCACTTAAAGTACTTTCAGCTATACTTTCTATCTCTTATCAACTTCCAGACCGATTATTTGGACGGGTTGAGAAAAAAATTAGAAAGTATGAAGAGATACTTTTGCCAGAAGACTACTAAAAAATTTATTGGGTGAAGTGCGCGTTTTAGAATCTGACTGGCAAATATAGAATTACAAGAGCTTTTCTAATTTTTTCAAAAAAACTGATGGTGATAAGTGATATGAAAAGAGTTATTTTGAAGAAAGTTGCTAATGGGGTAGCATTTAAAATGAAGAATACTTGCAAAAATGATGACCCTTCCAAGACATTGCTGAAAAGAGAAAAAAAATGGATAATGTGGTTACCCCCCTATTATTCCATTACAAAGTAAAGTTACAGAAGCAAGGAAATCTGATGTGGCAAATCTACTAAATAAGCGATTTGGTGAAGAATGAAAGAATGACAGAAGATTCCAGTTTTACTTGGATATACAAGGTAAGGATCCACCTGCTACTGAAACCCCAGCTAAAGACGAGCTTATGTACGACTGTTTGGAAGAAGAGCGAGAACTGATGCATGTTTAAATTTGTTAGGTATCAATATTTTTCGCTACATGGAATTTTTATGTTTTTTTTATGAAAATTTGTTTCATTTTGCCTTAGTTTTTGTTTCAAGTTGTATTAAGTCCAGTATCTTTGGATCAGTACATATTATGTCCAAAACTATTTTTTTTATTTTTCCTTAACCCGCAACGAAATTATTTATCTTTTAGTGTTAGCCAAAAACTATATCATTTGTCTTTTAAATGCTATAACTACTGGTATTGTACCAAAAACAATAGAATAGTACAATTCAGTTAGTTTCTGAAAAAATTTAAGTCGTGGATATAACACAGTTCGACGCTCCTCATTTGTAATACCTATTTATTATTTAAGATAGGTCCAATTTCAAAATAAATATAAAAGTAATTTAAAAGAAGTATGTGACATAATAAAAATCTAAAAAGTACAATATTTGGAATAAAATTAACCTAGTCTGGCTCTGACATACAGATATATACTCTACTAATAAACATGCTTACATAAATTTTTCCAGCATTTAAAAATAAATTACTTAATAATAATTACATATCTGTAAAAAATACGTTATTTACTTACCAATTTAGTTACTAATTTGGTTCAAAATTTAGACTATACAACATGACCGTTTCCAGCAATCAGACTTGAAATTCAAAACACATCGAAACCTTTTGATGTTTCCGCTTCCGAGCGAGACTCGAGAAACAAAACTACAACTGTCCCAAAACACGCCAGTCTTCAACAAGTTTGCGAAAAGTTGCTGTTTTGTTTTTTTTTTCGACACGGGTTTCTGTTTTCTTCTTGTTTTGTCCGTTTAGTGGAAAACCCCTATTAAACATACAACAGAATAATGCAATTTGGTAATATATTTCAGACTACTTGTTCCCTTCACACAAAGCTAAAAGTTACCTTATAAAAATGCCATTTTTCCTTGGTAACCATTTTAAGAACTGTTGAATGGTCAATGGTACCTAATGCAATTTGCCGTAAATATAGTAGGTGTGGAGATTACCTTGAAATGCTAGTAGAATACCTAGTTTCTTGTTTTACGCTATTTGTCTTACCTATTCTTATGTAGGTCTTCTACATGATCGGTTTCTCTGTATTTTTCTCTCAATTTTGTTTATTGTTGATTGAGACATTGTTATTTGGTTGGGATATAAAGGGTGTATCCATGGGCGTCGTTTAAGGGAGGGGGCAAGGGGGGCAGTTGCCCCCCTTGCTTTTACGACTTTACAACGCGTAATGGCTGTATGTCACAATACTAAATTAAGTACTAAAATTTAGCCCTAAATTAAGTTATTAATTTAGTACTAAATTTAGAACTAAAATTATTTTTTTTCTTTTTGCAACGATACCAATTTTTAGTACTAAATTAAGTATAGGCGCACGCGCATTGACGTATTATTACGTGAAATTAGCACAGAAATGAAACATTCTGTGTAAATGAGACAAGTGAATTAAAAGATGTTTTTAAAGGACAATACGAGTTTTGCGACAATTGATACCACGTCGAATACCGAATATCACCAATTGTGTTGGTTGCACGGGAGTTTTTTTCTATTTTACAGAGAATCCAGACCATGCCTTGGTAAGTCAATGAAATATTAATTTAATAATACGATTTACACACAACAAAAACAATTAATTGAACGCCACATGAATCAATTTCGCCTAACATAATAGTCATAATATTTATAAAAATTAAATAATTATCGATTGACACAACACACAAGTTCTTGATTGACAGATGACACATGCAGTGTTGTCGCATTTCCATTTTCTTGTTTATTAGTTGTCGTTTTTTAAAACAATGAAACTATAAATATGGTGAAAGTTTAAAGTTAAATAATACTTTTAAAAACATTTGATATTTTATACATAAAAAATATTTCTTTAACGATATTTTAGAAGTCTAAAAGTAAGAAGTATATTACTTTTCGTATACCGTCTAATTGGCAACATTGTGTGGTTAGTTCCTATTGGTCTATTCCCAGTGACCTCATTAATTTTAAAAAATTAGTAACTCAGGCA